TGTAAACCTACTCCAATAATCTGTTTTATTTGCAATTTAATTTTTTTTTGTTTACATATTAGCTGTGTTCAGAAAATGTAGCTGCCAGCAACAACACAATTTAGACATCTGAGATACAGATTTGTACTGTATATTCTTATTTTAAACAGCATTTGCTCAATCTGGCTCTGTCAAATATTGTAAATTGAAAATAGTGGTGTTTGTTAGCCCTCTGAAAGTACTGTAGAATTTATCTGAAGCCAGACAAGCACAGACACACACAAAACTGTGGACAGGAGAGAAGGAAAACTGAATACACCCGCTTACGCACACACATGCACTCTGACAATCACACAGGAGGACAAAGCTTGGAGTCATGGGAACACAAAGCTTTAGAAGACAAGATTTTTGAATGACAGCATCCTCAAGTCCCTCGGCACCAAATTGGCCACAGGAGGGAAAGAATGAGAGAAAGCTGGAAGAGAATAGAGTGTGAGTGACTGAGAGAGAAAAAGAGAGAGAAAGAGATAGACTTTCAGTCAGTCCAGGCTAAAGCTCATTGGCATACAAATCCTTCCCACAAACACATCTCCATTCTGTCTCTTTTTTCCCCCTATCATCTGCCAGGTCGCCCTGCTATTGTGCTGCCAACATCAGGCCCGGTCTGGAGAGAGCATGGAGAATGAAGCCCTCAGACAATGACCACTCTTTTCCTCTCCTTTTCATCTCTTTCATTCTCATTTTCCTCTGTCGTTTCCCACTGGCCATCAGGCTCTACATGGACTGAACAAAAAGACCAAAAAAATTCCCATAATCGCCTGGCTGCTAGATGGAAAAGGTTTGATTCCATTCACAAACCTGAGTATTTCTGATTTGTGATGAATCCTGTGAGGTAAATATTAGGTAAATATTTCAGATAAATATTTCGCATACATACACACACACATACATATATATATACACACATATACTGCATATATATATATATATATATAAAAAAATCTCAGCTGAAAAACAAACAAACATTACTTCACTTTAAAACATTGTTACTAGTTCTTGACCTATGTCACTGTAGTTCTGTCACATTGTGGTTGTAGAAGTGGGTCGTATGACACCAGAAACCTAAATCTGCAAAGGAAAACGAGAATTAATTTTCACAATCATCTACTCACAAACCTCATTCCATCCATTTTCAGTGCACTTACAGTGACCACCAATAGTTTTGTGGTGCATTATCGTATCACTTTAACTATTTTCCCTACCAAAAATGCTACCCGATCTTTATAACATGACCAGGCTGTATTATTTTCCAGTTAAGAGGTGCATTACTTAAATTACACCTCTTTTATCACTGTGTTGACCATCTAAAGTGCCATCTCAAGAACCGCATAAGACTGGATCAGGTCGCAAAGACAGCATGTGATATCAGAATGACCCAGGAAACAGGCCGTCCCGGAGCAGGATGTTGGTTTTAGCTTTTGAAAAAGAGATGCTCATTGAGTGGTAAGGTCGCATTGCATCGAAATGGGAATATAACCATCGTTTGACCCACCACACAAAAGGAGCCAGTGCAGATGAACTGAACAAACAGCCCACCATCAGCTCCGATAAACAGAAAACAGAGACTCGAAGCATGCGGGACACAGACACTGAGCGATTTCACCCGGTCAATAACACAGAGCCGAGCAAATTGAAAAACCCTGCTGTTTGTTTAGCGCTGCGGTAAGGCGCCTCTCCAAACTACACAAAAAAGAGAGAAGCTGAGGCCGAAGGCAGACAGATGAATTCAATTAAAACAAATAAAAGGTCAAGACTGGGACCTAGCAAGACCGCAGGGAGAGCAGAGCGCACAGCGTGACGTTTAGAGTCAGGCTCCATTGTGTTGACTAGCCTGCTAATGAGTTTCCAGTGAGAGAACCGGTAGCCGAACATGAGTGTCAGAGGCGTTAATTTGTAGAAACAGAAAGGAAAGAGCGAGAGAGAGTTAAAAAGGGAGGACAGAGCTTCTCGTTTGTTGAAGACAGAAGTAGTTGTATAGCTAACAGGGCAATGCAGAACAGAGGGCATCCCAGTGAATACAGGTCACCAGCCCAGCATGTCACAGGAAGGGTTTCTTTACAAAAACAACAAATAGAGCCCAAACAACGACCCGAGTTCAACCAAAACAAATAACCGATCAAGTAAAATGATCCCTTTTCACAAAGAAACTACACCGGTCTGCCTATTCACACTGTTTGTAGGCCATTGTGCACCATTCAAGGCTGATGATGTCCTAAAATCAATAGCTATATGTCTACCCCTACCTCTTTCACCTATTTTAATTTCATTGCAAATAATATTGGCAATCAATTACCTAGCTTCAGCCATTGTGTGTCCAGAAAATCATTTTCCCTCAGCCTTTGCTCGTGTGTGGTAATAATGGTGTGTATGGTGGGAAATTAAGAGGCCCTCTAAGGTCTTTTTTATGATTGCACATCGGTGTGCAACCTATAGCGCAAAGCCATCAGTAATCCCAGTAATAGAGGTGAATCAGTGCGGTGAGGCGGCCAATCAATGTCCACGTCAGCTCAAGGTCATGAACAGAATAATGATGGTGATAAAAGCAATCCAATTACACTGATGTGATTAATCATAAAATGATATTATGATTCCCATTCTCAATATACAGTTAAACAAGTGTAATCAATAAATATATCTATAGTTATTCTCCTAAAAGAAAGACTACTGCTGAATTTCGAAGAGATCTTAAAAGGATAGTTCATCAAGAAAATTCTGTCAGCAGTAAATGATGACAAACCCTCACATTGTTACAAACCTCTACAGCAGAGCATAAAAGGTGCTATTTTGAAGAATGTATGGACAAAAGCAGCTTAAACAATAAAAGTCAATGGGGCCCCAAAGAACACTGGATTCCACTGATAAAGAAACAAAAAGAGGAAAAACATGATTTCCAAAATAATTCTTATTTTGTTTTCCACAGATGGAAGGACCTATTTGGAACAACATGAGAGTACATGATGACCAAAAGCCAAACATTTCCCATTTAATTTTTATCCAGGATCAAATTATCGGGGGTATTCTCCACACACAATGTCTCATTTGTTTCTATTATTATTTTGTCTGAAACATTACTGAAACTTCATTATGTCTCCTAAATGTTAAGAAAATGATAGATAGATAGATAGATAGATAGATAGATAGATAGATAGATAGATAGATAGATAGATAGATAGATAGATAGATAGATAGATAGATTCAATATTTTAGAATACCTTGATTTACATTAAGCTTGCCAATCAAGCATAGGCTATCATAAGAGCATGAATACTTTATTGTGTGTGTGTGTCCTACTCTCTTGCTTGTTTTAGCTGAGGCATTTGGCCATGAGGGCACTCTAATCCAGACTGTTTAAACCTGGAGAAAAGGCAGAGAACAGAGGCTCCTTCACAAACAGAGCCTCTTCCCCTGGGGGGAAGCTGAGCCACTAATCCTGCTGCCCAGTAAATGAAAGCATGCAACAGGGACAGGTCACCCAAAGTCGCTAGAAGGGAGGAAAGAGAGAGAGGAATATCAGAGCAGTGAAAACAGCCCATGGTGAAGGTGGAATACTAATCTGGAGCAAAAGAAGAAAAAAAGAAACATAAAAATCGATGACCATTCCAGGGGTTCAGCAAAAAGATTAAATGTTCTTTTTAAGCCATTAAACCGAATTAAGCTCACCAACCCGGATCAGACTCAATCTAATCTTTTCTCAAGCAGGTGGTATGAACCCTCCGCTGGCAGACCGCAAGAGACTAAACAGAGCTCTTCTTCATTTCATTGAAAAATTTGTTTTGAATCAGTGTCTAGTCGTGTGCTTGTTGATACTCTGGAAAACACGCTTGGTGATGTCTTGGCATAATTGTATTAAGATCTCCATGAATGGGGCTCAAAATCCCAACCCTTGTCAAAATAAAAACCTATTTTTTGGTTCTGTCCCAAATTTTTATATTCTAAATTCACGAAACTGTGAGATCCACCGCAAAACAAAACCCTGGCAAAATAATTTGTGTGCTACAAGGCGCCCTCTGCTGTCTATATCAGCTGCTGCACTGTCCCCTGACCTCTCTGAATTCATTCCTTCTTAGATGAATTCCACATTTTGGTCCATATGTGGCAAATGACTCCCGTGTCATTGTGCTCGCATTGCTCCAGTGTAACATGGCACCCGCACTCCCACTGCGGCTTAAAATAACAAACGCTGGTCAGTCTTACGCCTCGGTGAGCAAGCACAGCGGGCGTCCTCCAGATGAGAAGACATTATTTACAGTCACATAGAGCACCTATATATTACCTGCTCACATCAAGCTCTTCATTTTGTTTTATTTGCTTTTTAATCCTTAGCAAATGTATGTGCTTTCAAATAACTTTAACACTTAGTATAATATTAAATAATAAAATAGTAAACTTTCTAATACATAGTCAGTCTCTTAAATTTATTGCAGTTAACTTTTTTTTTTGGGGGGGGGGGTAAATAAATAAACAAACAAACAAAAATATTGCTTTACTGTTGTACTGTGACTTTCGACTAGAGTATATGAGTATTCACAGTTTATTTTCTATTTTAAAAAATGTCGTAAAATGATTTTTACACTCCAAACTCGTAATTTTTTGCTGTGGTAGCAAAGATGTGCATTACAATAATTCTTAACATTGCACATTTGTGATCGTGTGCAAGCGTGTTCATTATCCTAATAACTGGCACGTGTATAGTGCAAAAAAAATATTGGAAATGTCCAACTGCAATCCACAGGGAGCATTTCAAAAGCGAGTTCTACAGGACAAGCAATGATGCACCCTAACATTTTAATAATCCTTAGTTAAAAACACATGCACTTGCTATTTTTCCCTGCTTGCTTCATTCACCTTGTGCATGATTTATAGAAACCACAGCATCCAGAGCGCACTTCAGAAACTGTCTCCCGCAAACCTCAGCCATTAATTAATCCTATTCTTAGTTTATAAACACAAAGCCCTCTTACCTTCATTCTCTGGGTAATTCCGTAAGGCTTGACTCGGTGTGAGGGAGGGGAAAAGAAAGAATAGAAGGGACGGATAAATCCAAAGGGTTGCCATTTTCAGGCTGCGCTGAGCGCGCGCTGCATCCCTCTTGCTGTAGAAAGTTACTGAGGCTCGCGATCAGAGCTCAAGTGAGGAGAGGAGAGCAGAGCAGATGAGAGGAGAGGGAGGGTCCTGGACTAGCCTCGGAGTGCCAATCATCCTGGTCTGCCAGGGAAACGGAGGACTGCGGGAGGCGCGCGGCTGCTTTTAAAGGCGCGAGCTCGATAAAGATCTCAACCGCCACACAGAAACTGAAGGAAGCGCGGACGATGGCAGCTGGCAAATTTCATTTTAGACTGACTTTAAACTGCTTAATTCTAATTTTCTGAGGTAATTTTAGTTTTAGGGACACTTTGTTTGATGGTTTAAAGGGGTCATATGATGCGATTTAAAATTTTCCTTTCTCTTTGGAGTGTTACAAGCTCTTGGTGCATAAAGAAGATCTGTAAAGTTGCAAAGACTAAAGTCTCAAATCCAAAGAGATATTCTTTATAAAAGTTCAGAGTCAGCCACGCCTACCTAAAACGGCTTGTTCTAACACGCCCCCACATATCTACGTCACCATGTGGGAAGATTTGCATAATGCCACCCAAATGTTCATGCAAAGAAAGAAAACGTAACTTTTATTCTCGCTGTAGTATTGTTGTTGAATGCGCTGTGTGTTTCATTGTGAAAGCGAAACTACTTTGTTTGGCCTTCTAAAAGAGGACAATATGGCTTCGTCATGCCTGGAGCTGATCCGTGCTGGTTGCTGAGGAAATACAACAACTTTGCGCTGTGGATCACCAGATCGGCTTTCTGGTACGAAGCGGAGTCCAGCCCGGGGTCGTCACATGTGGTTGCCGCAAGCCCTCCGGACGCTCCTTCGTCGAATCAGCCGGCTGCGCCGTTCTCAAGCCCGCCACCTCTGCTCACTCTAGTCCTCCGGCCGTTCCTCACTCTAGCCCCCGGCCTCTGCTCACTCTAGTCCTCCGGCCGTTCCTCACTCTAGCCCCCGGCCTCTGCTCACTCTAGTCCTCCGGCCGCTCCTCACTCTATCCTCCGGCCTCTGCTCACTCTAGTCCTCCGGCCGTTCCTCACTCTACCCCCCGGCCTCTGCTCACTCTAGTCCTCCGGCCGTTCCTCACTCTAGCCTCCGGCCTCTGCTCACTCTAGTCCTCCGGCCGTTCCTCACTCTAGCCCCCGGCCTCTGCTCACTCTAGTCCTCCGGCCGTTCCTCACTCTAGCCCCCGGCCTCTGCTCACTCTAGTCCTCCGGCCGTTCCTCACTCTAGCCCCCGGCCTCTGCTCACTCTAGTCCTCCGGCCGTTCCTCACTCTAGCCCCCGGCCTCTGCTCACTCTAGTCCTCCGGCCGTTCCTCACTCTAGCCCCCGGCCTCTGCTCACTCTAGTCCTCCGGCCGTTCCTCACTCTAGCCCCCGGCCTCTGCTCACTCTAGTCCTATTTACAACACTTCAACCCAAATATTCAGATGTGTGCAGCACATTTTATGGAGGACTGTTTCCTGATCCTGGGAGAGTAGACGACAATGCCTGTTGTTCTGACTCACAGACTGTAACTACGTTTTTTATATTTAAAGAGTTTTTATATTTTGTATTTTTTTATATTTAAAGCGAGTTTTTTGGGCAGTGTAGAGTAGGGCTTGTTATTTGTCATTTCTCTGATCACAAATGAAGACATGGTTTTATGTTTACGCGGTGCGATGCAACGCAACGCATAAAAAGACAGTATAAGTCATTATAATCCATAATTATGTCCCCACTGGATGCAACGAATGCCTCGTTTATAATGGGTTTCATGTTTTTGAATTATCGCTCCGGCCTGACAGGGCATCATCACAGTATGGTAAGGGGCGTAACATTTCCGTCACACACTTGGGGTATTCGGCCAATCATGATAACTAGCCAATCACAGCACACTTCGCTTTTCAGGCTGATGAGCTTTGTAAAACTCGATGCGTTTCAGAAAGGCGGGGCATAGAGGAGAAACAATAATGTACAGTATGTGGAAAATAATGTGTTTTTTGAACCTTAAACCGCATAAACACATTTCAATACACCAAATACACAAAAAAATGTTCTTTTTAGCAACATCATATGACCCCTTTAAGTTTCTAAAGTAAGCTATTAGGCGGAAAAAAGAAAACGTCTCGTATTACGACGAAATAAACAAACATGGAATAATTTACGTGATTCTCTTTTTATCCATAAAATTGCACTTCGTTTACATACTGTATAGGTATGTCTTTAAGAAAATGTAAGGTCAAAATTAAGGCAAGTACGTTAACGCTTCTAACTACGCAAGTTACACGATTTCAGTTGCAGTAGGGGTTATGCGCAACAGACTTAAACAGGTCTCATCTCTTCCAGTTCAAGCATTTTGCATATGTATACAAAAATGATCATAACCAATGTCCATAGGCCTATAAGGATTGATATCAAAAAGTTTTGTATTTTTACACTTTTCACGAACATTTCGATATAATAATTGAATAAAACATCAACAATAAAAACAGCTAGCTGTTTTAACATGATTACAAGTCTATAGATAACACCATTATTTAATACGGCTGTTAACACGTTCTCCAACATGCGGAAGCGATGAGACCTGTTTTCCAGGTTTGGTCAGCCGGCATTTGACACATACCCTGTTGCACGTTATTGCATTCTTATGTACAAGCATTAATTATTTTTCTATGGTCAGTTTTCTCTTTCACGTTTGTGGCAGTATCCAAAAAAACGCCTACATATTGCCATTCACTATTCCCTACATAACTTATATAGTCCACTTGAAAGAGTGAGTAAAAACGAGTGAACCAATATGAGTGCACCAAAAGGGCTGCTGTTTTTTGCAGTTTTTGCTTGCTGATGCAACTTGCATTTTGGAGACCACCACTGTGGAGACGTGGGAATTCAATAAACAGGTCCCTCACAGTACATTATGGGTACACATTGAGTGTACATCGGTTATACACTAGTACAGTATATTTGTACACTAGTCCACTATGGTTTCAGACATTACAAATGCGGTCCTCTCAATTAGCACACTAGGAGATTTCAGACACAGCTTGTAATACTGCAGTCATGATAAGGCTGACAGAGCATCAAGTGTTCTGTTCATGCACTTTTAACTGTGTCTTTTTGTATGGCTCATAACTTAAACAACTTATTTCAAATCTTATTGCTGAATTTGTATCATTATTGTGCCACAGTTAGCAATTATTAGGCAGAAAAAAAAGAAAATGTCTCATATTAGTTTGGAATAAGCAAACAAGATTTACATATAATTCTTAAATGATTGCCTTAAATTATTAAGGCATGTTAAAAAAGCATTCAGAGTACAGACTAAAGCAATAAGCCAAGCATTTTAGGCATGTAAAAACTGTGGTAAAAATTACTGTAACACATGGCAGCTGGCACATACATGGCACATACTGCTTTTATAACAGCAAAAATAACAGAAACTGTCATCATTTACTCACCCTCATTGTCATTCCAAACCTCAATGTCTTCTGTGAAACACACAAGACGATATTTTAAAGGAATGTCTACAATAAAAGTCAATGATTAGCAAAACTGTCAATGGACAGTAAAACAAAACTGTTCTTTCTTTTTGAGGAGTTACCACATTTTTTCAAAATATCTTCTTTTGGTGAGTAAATTATAACATAACCTTTTTTTTATCACATTGAACACATTAACAATAATCACGCACAAAAACAAATCACAAAAAAAGTGCTTATAGGAACATTAAATTTGAATTCAAGTGTGCTCATACATATCCATTTATCTGCTATTACAATGCACTTGAGCATAGCTCATCCAATAAGATTTTAGATCCGGAACTATTCTTAAAATAAAATACTCTAAATGGACTACAGTAGAATTAAAATTGCAAGATATAATTTGTAATCTTGACCAGATCTGGGAATCATAAGAGAACAACGACCAGTGAAACCAGCATCACTTTATCCACTTTCTCTCTGCTCCAACTGGGATTTTCTAAGTGTCCAATTAAGACAATTAAGCAATTTACACCCTTTTCAGGCTGCATGCCAATGGCCTAATTTCCCCATGGGGCGAAATAAGAAAAGGTTTTTAGAAGGCGTCATTCATCCAGTAACAAACCTCCGTCATGGCAACACTATCAATGGCATGGCAAGGCTCTCGGACTCCTCATCTACCACCAACCCCCCTCTAAGGCTTTTTGTGTGTGGGATGTCTTTAAAACACTCACAATCCTCATGGTCACTGTTTATTGTCTCTGAATGCTACAGTAAAATGCAGTGTCAGCTTCTGCTCTTCAAGAGAAACCATGGAAGTCCAGACAGAGTATATGAAATATGTCTGCAATATTCCTTCCGCTTTCATAACACAAATGGCCATTAGAGGAGGATAGTGAGCTACTGTTAAGGTCTTCATAGAATCACTGCACGGTGTATGTTTAGCTTCAGCCAGTGCTATGCTCAACACACACACATACACAACACCTTTCTTCTCAGACTAATTCATGTGCCATTCGTACTTTTCTGCCATTCTGTGTCATTTTGTGCCACATCAAAGCTTAATGGTTGACTTTTTAGGAAATGCTTCAGTCTCTACCTTTTTTTCAGCCCATTTCTAAAAGGTTTGAACTCTGGTCACCTGCTCTCTCCCCCTTTCACCCTGAAAGTTCAGTAAGTTATAATAGCTTGGATTGAGGGCCAAATCCAACTCTTGATAGGGCAGATTGTTCTATTTGGCAGGTTGCGCTGCTGTGCAGATTCACTGCTGGAAGAGACACTAACCAAAAGAAAAAAAGAACACCACATGCACATGGGACCACAAAAGAAAGCAATCTGTTGACCTCGAAAAACAAAGCAAGGTGTGCAAATGCATTTTGCCTGTTACTTTACTCATTACATGTACATGTAAATTAGAAATGACTTCAATACTTTAATACTTCAATACTGAAATCCACACACACACACACACACACTACTGTTGAAACGTTAGGGATCAGAATGATTTTGGGTGCATGTGTGGGGGGAAAAAATCAGCAAGGGTGCATTTAATTGATCAAAAG